GTCCTTTTATTGCATCCCCACCTATTCACCTGAGGAAGTCTTCACAAGTCCACAAAAAAATACGGATCCATGACAAGGCGTTGACCGTTATCTCAGTTGATTGCACTGTTTCTCTATTTATGAACGATAATCAATACGTGACCACGTCACGTGGTTTTCCGCTGTTGAAGGATGAGTGACGCGATGCCCTGCCTTACTGAGGGCCAATGCCACTGCTGATCAGGCACTCTTGGCCAAACGGTTGCGTGTCCAACCCCTGGTCGGACAGTTCCGGATTTGAAACTCCCTGGAGTTTCGTGAGATACGCACTGCTGATGACTCGCACCAAGGATGAATCAACTGTGCAGTGCTCTTCGGTCAATCAGTACAGATTGGCTTCACTGAGAGGATGAAATCTCCATTGAAATATGCGAGAGTATCACAGTAAAATTCCCAAAAACTTGCTCGATACGATAAGCTCTTAGATGCAACATGGGCGTACCTGAACACAACGTAGTCGGGCAAACCTGTAAAATACGTTCTTTTTATGACCAGGTTAATGGGAAATGGTTATACTCAGATCTTATCTGAACTGGGTCGTACAATGGCCCTTAACAGACACGCATATTTTATTAGCTGTCTTAAGTGTAGTACTTTCCCAGCCCACTCTCCATCCGTGAGGACTAATCAGAGTAATAAAAGGAAACGACTGGGATATAGCGTACATATTCTGTACGCCCTCAACCCCCCGGACCCTTAAGTACCCAGATAAAGCAGTTATGAGACGGAAACCAGTAGACTACTGTCAATATCACAGGACCTGTGGTAGGAATGAAGCTCTGTTAGGTAAATAGTGAATCGAAAGAGTACTTTGTTCCCAGCAGAAGTATGGAATACTATCTCACCTATCCTCAGAGTCGTAGCATACATATGTCGTATGTGTTCAGTCCTAGGGACGCGGATCTCGGTGGTCCGAAAAACACGCAAGTTCGAACCCCGTTCGATTCGACCTACCCGGCTGAATCTTCTTGAAGCAGCTTTGGGATCATTTGGTACACATAATATCTAATATATATATATATATATAACTATATTTCATACACTTTATAACTCCCGCAACACTCACTTTCAACAGAATTTAGATCCAGTGAAAAAGGAAAGTTATTTCGGGCGCTGGTACCCTGTGAACCAAAGAGCCTCCACGTGTTGACTTGTGTACGATCTTCTTTCGGTAGCAAAATCAATGAAGCTGATACCAAACCGACAATGTGCGAGTTCTTTCCTCTACTGCTGGCCATAATGGCAAGTGAAAACAGATCCAAATCGGTTTCATCAATTCAAACGATGGGTCTATCCTCGGCCGCTAACTACGTAACTAGTAAAAAGTACTTCTTGCTCAGTCCAGTGAGCTCATGTTCTCACAAGTCCCTCAGTGTGGCCAGTTATCCATCGGTCTACCTGACAAATGTTGTCAAACTCGAGTCCTTGTTAAATATGACAGCCACTCACAGGAACAAAGTGGACAACGTCACCCTCGAATCTCTTTCGAGTTTCTTCTGTTTCTGTGTCATACCAAGCTTTCCCGAAAGGTTTTGAACACTGTTTTCGTCCTGAACACCAATTCAACAATCACAAATGAAAATCGATATGGTTTTCTGTATCGTCTGCTGCTAGCTATTTGAAGGACACGTAGCTCCGGGCCAGCCCGATGGGTCACTTTACGAGAAGTTTATTAACTAGACTGACGTTTTCAACAGGGGGCCTGGTGACCGCGAGATGGCACAGTTTCGAGACGAGAGGGGGGATGAGCATACGCTTGGTTCATGTTCTGGGCCTGGTGGAGGCTGATGTAGCTGGTGTTGAACAGAAACACTCATGAAAATCCTGATAATGCTGAGTCCCCCTCTCAAAATCTTGCCTTCTGCTTTTGTAAGCCTTCCAATTCGGTGGAAACTAATCAATATCTTGTCACACTCTCGTCGAGAGGTTCGAGTCTTTAGTGCTGTTTCGTAGGGACGACGCCGAGATAATCAAGCCATGTCGAGGACGGTATTGTCGCCTCGGAGGACAACTGAAATCCTGTCTGAGTGCGGCCAAGAACGGAATTAAGCGCCTCGGTCTCCATTTGACCCACCGAGTTCATCATTCGAGCTGACACTAAATTGGACGATCCTGGATGCCTGGGTAGCGTGTATCAGATACATTTATGGAGCCGACTCATCTTTACTCGGTAGACAGCGGTCCGTGAACATGATCGCCAGCCATCCGAGTTAGCCAACCATCGTCATATTAATCTAAAAGTCTCTGTCCAACAGAACATAAATTTGCTATGTTGTGTGTGAAGTTATCAAATACGGTTTCAGGATGTCTTGCAAGGGCCGAGAGAACTCAGTGGTTAGAGCGTGACTTTGCTGACCAGGAGGTACATGGTTCGAACCCGATCTCTGCATTTCGACTTCTCCTAGGCACCGAGCACTACCCCAGCTATCGTACTTTCTTCGGGCGGCATGGTAGCCAGGCACCGAAAGGGTGTGGAAGCTGAACGATTTCGGTTTTCGTCTTGCGAATAAAGCCGAACACAATGACTCCAACTATGAAGCTCGGCGAACAAATCAACAATCAATCGGGGCTTCCGAGCTGTCCATAGAGCACAACATCGGCAAAGTTGGTCGTATACGCGAACTCCACTCATTTACAAACAAATTTGGTTTCACGAGAGTCGTATAAGTGCTTTTTCTTACGTACAAACGGTTCGTATTACCGTATTACAGTATTACTGACCCCAGTTATATGGTTCAGAAATATGGGCACTGCAACAGCCTGCAGGCTGTAGTGCGAAAAACAGCATTTATACGCTGACAGAAAGCGCAGTTAGGTGGCGCGACGTGAAACGGCTTAGTGACTCAGTCTGGGATGATCCCAAAAAACCGTAATTTTACAATTCAGTGGCTTGACAAGATTGTAGCAGCTCCGTAGTGAAAAGGCGTATCTGGTGAGGCACCTCTCCGAAACGTCGCACAAACGCGGCATGAGTGAATTTTTTGATGTCTAGCCACGTGACATTTCATGGGTTCTTCTCATTGTCCAGCGCATTTCTACACGGAGATTTTATGGAGGGAATAAAGGGACTGATAGGGCGCGTTTGGAAACAAAACGGGAACAAGAATGGTGAAATACACTCATTTACGAACAAATTTGGTTGTTCGAGAGGCTCACCTAGGACACAGCTGAATCTCTCGTCAACGATGTTTTTAAGCGACTGAATGTGCTGCACCAAGCTGTCTCATGTTTCATTTGACACGATATTTGAGATATCGCGATACATGTATGGACGTAATACACTACTCATAAGGTTGCTGAACATTCTTCGAGAATACTTTACAGCTTAGTGGGCACTCAGTACGTTTCCCCTCGAGAAAAAACCAGGGTCTTTGGTGAAATGCACTGCATCACGGTCGAAAAAATGCTTTGTTGAACGAATTATGCTTCCAATTTTTCGCGAAACTTTTCACGATCAGATGTTGAATCATACGTGAGGTCGATTGCTTGCTCTTCGGTGCCTAGCTGTGATGCACGAGGGCGGAGATACTGCCACATCGCCTAAACCCCCGAGATGCCGGGGTTGGGTTTGGACCACGGAACTTCGGGTCAGTAATTTCGCGTGTTATTCATTGAGCTGTCCCGAGCTTGTAGCTAGCCCGTCACCCACACATTCGACTGTTCAGCTCACAGTCGCTCACTGGATCACGAGACTTGGCTTTTTTCATACTCGCAAACCACGTCACATCAAGGTGACTCACCGGACATCGATTGTCTGTAACGTCTAGTGAGCGTAGCAACCACTCATGTGCTGTCACACCCAAGTACATGCAAGTGGACCTACTTATAGGGAAACCGAACACAGCACACAGACTCGCGCGCGCACACGGAGCAGGAAGTCAACCGCTTTCTACAGTCCACGGACAACTATGGAACACCTGTAGCAGCCATGCTGCGGAGCAATCACGTTCCCACCGTCCGGACTTTCACCAAGGAACTCTCACATNGCTGTTGACTCGCTCCACATTTTATATTGCCTTTATTTTATACATGCTGCAAATCGCTTCTGTAAGCTACTGTCAACCACAGTAAAAATCTATTAGTGCATACACCTGATTTGTATTATGGCCATCATCATCACTTGTGCACTAATAAGCTCAACTTCCCTCCCCACAAGCATATAAACAATTCGAACAAACGGTATCTGGTTTGTAAAGTGAATGAACGGCAGTTAGATTACAAGTCTACCCCAGAATTTGATGACCTAGAGTTGGAAGAAACTAAGTTGTTCGTCGATATCAAACAACTCCTGTCTTTAGGTGATGCATCCGCATCGGTGGTTGCGACCTGACTCGCCCAAACTATGCACCAAAATGTTGCTCGTAAAATGCTGGGTTTTGAAAACCGCCCAGTGACGGAGATGAACTGAGATAAACGATGACAACTAACAAACTGTGAATCAGGTGAACCGGTACGCCTACAAGGAATGTGAAGTGAGACGTAGGGATGCTCATAACGAAAAGAACACTCGTTCCATTTCACAAGTTTCTTCTTTTGAAGTGGCCTTTTGAAGAGCCATTGCTACGCGTACAGGTAGGAAACCAATGAACGTTCAGATCAGGTTCCCGGTGAGTCTCCCGTCCACACCAAATTGGTATGCAAATGAGTGTGTTTCGTTCTACAAGCCGTTCTATCTCTAACATAAACGGGATGCCCCGAAAAACTTTGAGAAGCAGTTCACTTCATACTGTGCCAAGTCTCATAAATCGGGAAATACGTTCAGCTGGACCAAATTGCAGCTGGGGGGAGGTGTTGCATTGATGTTTGCAGACTCGCTGATTGCTCAACTTCAGTAAATGAATTGATTTGCTTTTCCACTTTACCCGACCGCTTGCTAGATGTTAGTTTCAAGTGTCATCCGTTATCTGTTGACGAAAACAATTGTACGGAGCTTCAAGGGGGAATGAGGAACAAGGACTTACTTGTGTTGATAAGATATTGATTCGTCACAGCCGGGTGGTCGATATCGTGAATGATGCAGGCGAACAAAGTGGAGAATACTTCCAGATCTGAGAACATGGACTGAAAAGCGAGTAGAATGGGCAGATGCATATTGGCGTTCGGTACTGGTTGCCACGTAGTGTGGTAGGTAAAAACAAAAGCAACCAATCATTGTGTTCACCAGTTTCGTTCGGCTAACCTGACTACCGGTGAATAATGCTTAGGTTGTTTCCTTCCCAATTGATTACCGGGTCTGCTTCGCTTTACTTGCATTCCGTGGTACACTGTGATCATGACCGTTAATACACAAAGTGTCGTTTGGTAGAGGCGTAAAATATGATACCTCCGAGGTAGAGTCACAGTCCTGAAAAACGGCCACGATTCCGTGTGCAGTCCCTCCGAGGGCAGATCAACTTCAAAAGGGCCCACTTTTCTACCCAGTAGTGGTCTGTCTTAGAAATCACAGCAGTCACAGGGACGGCTGGATGGGCACTAGACTGGCCGTCACTTGCAAGTTCCAATTTGGGAACGTACTGAACACCTTTGAAATATGTAGAGCCGCAATAGCCAAATATATACGTTTTTCCACAGATCAGGATAGCGTTCACAAGCTACCAAAATTTTGGTATGACTTTCTGAACATGGATGTTGGCTCATGGATATTCCGAATATGTTTTGAACGCACTGTCGAACTAACTGACTTTTGTGACTAGCTTCCACTTTAGTAATGAGTCCCGAGGCTGCCAGTCGTTTGAACACATAACCACAAGCGGCTGATCAACAGTGTGTGACTAAATCCAACTTAACCAGAATATAGCGCCACTCGTTCTTTAATCCTGACGACTGTTCTAGAACCAGGGGTCATTTCCCAGGAATGTATTGTTGCGTAGCCTAACTTGTTTAATATCATACAGATAAATACAAAAAAAGACGTTGGACACTACTCAAAGATTGCTGAAAACTCTTGAACAGCCAAAAATCGGTTTCGCTCATTAAGTAGGCTCAGTCCCCGAATCCCAGTTCAACTTGAACCATGATTGGACTGAATTCAACAACCCGCACTCATTTGCCAATCAATTTGGTTTTCACGGGCGATTCAAGTGAATCTCTTGTTTATGATATTCTTCAACAAAATGGGCTGCACGCAGGCCACCTCATGCTTCAGTTGGCACGACATTCGAGATATCGCGGTACATTTTCATAAAGGAAACTACTCATAAGGTTGGTGAAAGCTCTTCGACAGCCCACTGCCGGTTTCGCCCTTCTTAGGGCTCATTAGAATATCAACCATTTTATTTGAAGAGGCAGTAGTAATTACAACAGGTACGTCTCGAGCAGGAGAGAAACCTAACCAGATGTCTATTTTGTCGGATTAGAAATATCCGTCCAAGTGATACAGCAGAATCGCGGTTGTTCTGAAGTGGATTAATGATTGCAAGTGATACACTACTCAGAAGGTCGCTGAAAACTCATCGACAGCCCACGACCGGTTTCGCCCTCTTTGGAGCTCATTCGGTAGGCGAAGTCTCCGAGTTTACGTCTACTTTGTGCTCTACTTGAACCGTTTTCGAGAAACGCACTCATTTCTGCAACTTCGTGAGTAGTTCCCTTGTCAGAGAATCACCTGGAGCCCAGCTGAATCTCTCGTTCATGATGTTTCGTGGACTGTCGAAGAACTTTCAGCGACCTCATGAGTAGTGTATTACGACTAGGCGTGCATCGTGAATATCGAATATCGTATCAACTGAAACATGAGTCGGCCTGGTGCAACGCATTCAATTGCCTAGAAACATCATAAACGAAATATTCAGCTGGGTTCCAAGTGGATCTCTCACAAAACCAAATTTGATGGCAAATGATGTCCAGACCAACTCGTTGAAAGACACCCACAACCACCAGAAGAAAATTCGGCTGTTTCGACAATTCAGACAGTGAATATGCTCAATTAAATTTCAATTCAATGGTTGTTCCGAAACTGTGCTTTTGACACGACTCCCACGGAAGACAGTTCGGCCGCTAATTTAAATTACACGGTCTAGAGTTTCCAACTAATTAGGGGACAATAATCATTTGCCAGGGCAGGATTAATTACTGAATTCAACTAAAATCGATATTTTACCATAGTTCAAATGTGCTCTTCTGTGGATTGACTGTTTGCTTAACCAGAGAAACTGAAGGAAGCATTGCCAGCAGCTGAGTTTTTCCAACAACCTAAAAATTAAATTAATTAAAAATGTCGCCTGCGAAACACTGTTTGTTATCAATAGTTTATCAATTTCAGCCAGACTACAGATACCGATGTACGCAGCACTTCCGTGCGTGACTGTCAAACACGAGATCTAAAGATGAAACAGGAAGATTGACGGAAACTCAGGGACTGAGCCTACCTGACGAGCCCCAAGAAGGGCGAAGCCGGTCGACGAATTTTCAGCAACCTTATGAGTAGTGCATTACGAATATACACGTATCGCGATATCTCGAATATCGTAGCGACTGAAACCTGAGGCGGCCTGATGAAGCACATTCCCTTGCCTGGGAACATCACAAACGAGAGAGCGAGCTGGGTTTCAGGTGAGTCTCTCGCAAAACCTAATTAGTTTGCAAATGAGTGTATTTCGCTAATTTCGTGAAATTTAGTTTCAATTAGAACATAAAGTTGACGGAAACTCGGGGACTGCGCCTACTTGATGAGCCCCAAAATGGCAAAACCGGTCTTGGGCTGTTGAACAGCTTTCAGCGACCTTGTCAGCGGTTTCCCTAACAAAGTTCTCTTGTTTGAAACAAATAAAATCCGATGTTGATGATTGGTATCGGAAGAACGTATTACGGCGCGTATGCCCCTCTGAATAAAGATCAATGACACGAAATGCCTTTTCAACAGATGTTATTTATTGACTGAATCAGTTTTTTCTCACAAACGAAACGCAACTTTCGGGTTGTCTGGATTAGTAGTAACACGGACTCCAGATGTTTTTTCTCCAACCGTCAATTAAGTTTGTCTTGGTTTTCTCAGTGGTATGGAACATCTGGTTTGGAGCACGAGGATGTTTCCAGTTCGGTTTTCGGACTTTAGAAGGTCGAAACGGTTGTCTCCAGCATTCGAGCACTAGCTGATTTAGCGTCCTGTGACGTTCGGATCATCAAAGAAGGTAATCCGAACGTCACATTGCATATACCTCAACCTCCCTTCTTCGGGGGTTCGTTTTCTTAGTAAATCAGTCCAGCTGGACATTCGAGTGTGAAAAGTATATTGCCCCACTGTTTGTTTTTTCCCATGGTACTGATAATGGTTGAGTAAGGCCACCCTATTGTACCATAGGTTGGTGGAGGAGTGCATTCGTTTGCACTGTTTGTGCAAAACATCGGACCCCGGTTACATGCACTTTGAAACGAGTTTGAGACCGACTGGACAAAGCCAGTTCATCTGTTCTGTTCTCCAAGCTTTAATCCAGTTCGCGAACTGGCGACCCAGGGTGTGTCACTTTCCGACCGCCTCAGTTACATCCGCGTCTGCTTCGGCCTGAATGAGTTAAAACTGTGTGACACTGGTCGCCTGATTCCCGGTAATCTAAACAGGTAGAACATACGGTTGACGGAAACTCGGGGACTGCGCCTACCTGATGAGGCCTAAGTGGAAGGGCGAAACCGGTCGTGGGCTGTCAAACAGTTTTCAGCGACCTTGTGAGTGGTTTCCTTTATGAAGGCCATTGAGTTGAGGGAAAGTCGAGACGGTCAGAAATAGATGAGATAATCCCATGATTACTTATGGGACAAGCAAACCTGTGCAATGCAGTATTTGAGGTTGGTAAACGTTGCTCGTTAAGAAGAACATTACCGACTTTGTGGGTTTATGAAGGACTTTGGGATCAGGACTTTTAAGGCAGACGGCGCGATGGACAACATATGGCTCGCCAGGAGGGTGGGAGAGAATACAAAAGAGTATGGGAGTTGTTGCTTTGGTTTGCCAGTTCCCCGTGATCCCTCCGGAGCTTGGGTGGAGATAATGCAAGTCATTGTGGCTGACAGATTCCCCCCAAACTGTTTTGGTTAAGCACTAGCAGGTGTATACACTTAAGAGACCAACAACAGGTCCCTCCCTACCCACTCTTCTTTCCTCTAAGTAAAATGAAGTGAACTTTGTGGTTGTAGGGCAGTGAAGATCAGCGTCAACACTCACGTTGTTGTCTTTGCTTGGGCTAGCACGAACAGAGGAGTGAAATTGTTTTATACACCTGTTTTCACGGGCCCAGCGAGGCCATATTTTCGGTATGGGGCTTTAGTTGAAAACCGATCACAGCGAAGTCAATGTTATTTGTCTCTGACTGGAAGTCTGTGTGTCACCGATCGTTTTCGAGGTTGTGATGGTAACCTTGAAAGCATCATGTGCTTTAGGTCACAACTTCAGAAGTCGTTAGAAAGCGTCATCTCTAATCAATAAGCGGATGCAAACAGAGTCACCGCACTAAGCAGCAGGGGTCACATGTTCCAATAACATCCATCCATCAATTGGGAAGATGGACACTTTGGCCGGGCTGCTTCGACGAGAAAGCCAAAACGCTGGAATTGTGGCACTGCCGGAAAGCTGTTTGTAAGGCGACACGGACACCAGAATAATTCAGCCCATGGTCTATTCCGAGTGGGTCGTCCCTACAAGTATGGTGGAGTCATCAATTAGGAAGAACGAAGATGGTGTTGCGCTTTCCGTTATGACCACATGATAGCTCTGCAAGAAGTGCCAGCTGTCCGATCTTGAAGTGCAATCTCTAAGTGGCTGTTATTCACTCTTTCTCACAAACCTATCCATTTCACTCGGTACTTCTGTCCACGGATTGCTGTCGATTTCTCCAACGCGCTGGTAACATACTTTGACCTTGTGAACGACCTTGAAAAACCTGGTTGTCCCTTTTTCACATCTTTTGATTCTGTCACTGTTGCTGACTTTCTCACGAGACTTGACGCTTGACTGTGTAGGCGACAGCACTGTGAATTCCACTCGGTTCATTCGACCACCCCATCCAGACGTTTTTCCAAAGGCGTAGTCTAATACTCACGGGTATTCCATCAATAAGGCCTGCCAAGTACTTATTACACAAGGATACTCTTCAGGAGAAAACATCAATCTACTGAAGCATAGGTTCTCTGTGACTAACTTTTCCCTTTTCTACGCTTGTTCGACAAATTGTGAACGTTCGACCGGTTGTCTTAATTTTGTTTCCACCTGCGTGGAGAATACTCATCTATCTAGGTAACTATGGAGAGGACAGGAGAAGGCAGTTCATGGGACAAATCGGAGAGCAGATCCACTATCTGAATGAATTTCAAGCGCAGATTCTAGTTAGCCAAGAAAAAATGCCTTGGGGCGTGCAATGATCTGAACTAGTTATGTAGTACCGTACTCCCATGCACTGACCTGAACAGGCATAATCACGTTCCGAATCCACTTGCCACATTTGTTATTCGTCAAGAGACTAGCCCCTACTCAGCTGCTCAGTATAGTAGTACGTTACACGAAAACTAAAGCATTCAAGTCTGATAATGTTAGAAAACTGTGCTACGCAAAGGATTCACCGACCTGAATCCAGCTAATGTCGCTCTGCTGGGAAAATAGCCGATAGCTGGATGGCTGAAAGACCAACACTGGTGTCGGGGAGCGCCTCAACTAACAGCATATACGTCTACGCTCTCGATACTCGAAGACGCATGGCAATTTGCTGCCGACAATCGTGGTCTACACTGGATGTGATTGCCCATTCGGATGCTTCCTAATTTTGACAGTTCACCTTGTCTTTCTGTGTTTGGCGGCATCCAACACGGTATACTACTGCAGCTACTTGTGAAGGATACGAATGATCAGAATTGGCTTGTGTTGATACGGAACTATTTGGTCGATCGGAAACAGATTCCGAGCCTCAAGGGACAAAACTCCATTCCCCTGCTCACTGGCATACTTGTTCTTCCGCTTTGTCGACTGCATTTCAAGTCCTGATTCCCGCGAAAATGGCACATTTGTGATGAACTACCTGCGGCCTCCCAAACCCAACATGCTTAGGTCTGTGAATTTTTGCCTGCAAAAAACACCCTTTCGAAGCATACCACCTGAAGGAAGCATAAGGTTGCCCAAATCTAGACGAAAGCAGGTGAGAGTTCATGGTTGGGTTCGAACCACGGACACTTCGGTCATTAGTTTCGCTAGTCCAAAGTAATCCGTACTGTGAACTAGCATCTGAATGTAATTCACACTGCCATTCGGATGTCATCTTGACAAGTGGGCATCCACCGAACTTGTCCTGATCTGGACTTGATTGAAAAACACCACGGGGACTACAAACCGAGCGTGAAAGTTGTAACTGCCAGACTGAATAAAGTTGAAAAAATGTTTGAGCGAATCTAGTCCTCAAGTCTTGGACAATCTGTCCAGGTGCCAGTAATAACGAATATTGCATGAACTTTAAGTGAAAACGAAACACATGTCTCAGATCGATCGTAAAACCTAGCGAAGTAAAGCAAGTCGGAATTGAAAATGTACGAAATCCAAGTTTTGTCACTTTTTATTTTATTACGGTCCAGAGCTCTAGAGTTAAAAAAAAACAGAACGCTTTGTGATTACAGGGTGTTTTGACGAGGTTCGCACTAAGTGAAGCCAGGACAACGGAGATTTTAAAGAGTGGACTTTAAGTTGGATTAAAAACGTGGGACTTTGCCAACTAACCTGCAGATCGTTGAAACAAAACAACTTGTCCATAGTGTGAAGCACATCAGTCGCGTGAATTGAATTGTGAAAGGGAGCATCCACGCGGTACAGCCGTTCCGCTCGTTGTAGGAATTGATACATTTGCGGAATGGGAATAGAGAAGTTGGCCAGTATGCCTCGGTCCTGCAGAAAACCAAAAACAAAACGATATGGTCAGGCGAATCGATGCTGTGCTGCGAAGGTGGACTGCCGGTCGGGAATTCACGAGATTTTGGATCCTGCGTCCAATGGTTGCGTACGCTTTTAGTAGGGAACTCACCTTTTTTAAATATAGTAAATACTATTCAAGAACAATCAAACGTTCGTTTAGAATCTAACGCATGAATCATACGGTTGCTGACAACTTTTCCGCAGCTCGCGACCGATTTCGTCCTTTGTGTAGCTCATCAGTAGACGCAGACTTCGAGTTTCCCTTCGGCCAATCTTATGTTCTACGTGAACGCAGAACGTGGTACAGCAAATTTAGTTGAGTCACCTGTCAAAACCAAACACTAGTCAAACTGTTTCAAACCTTTAGGTGTTGTCGACTAGACGCCATGGCCCAGAAACAAAGACGTATACTTTAAGGTCGAAGACAGTTGTGTGGAATGAAAACTTTCCGACCGTGTCTTCAAGATGAACAAAGTACTGATTTCTGACAGTGGTTTTATGGGCGCTCGAACTTTAATTTCCTTTTTAACTATAGAGCCGTGCGATGGTTAATAGCCCGAAGTCTTTGAATTTCTTGACCCCCCCCCTCTTCGCTAAGGTGCAAAAGTTTGACCTGGTCTGCCCAAACAAATCGTTTCCTAAAAGGAGCCATCGGTACAGTGGCAAACCATTCTAGAGTTGTATCACATCTCCTGCTTGACGAATATTTTCTGCTGAGGTCACACCGAAGACGGAAGCACCGAACTAGAGTTTCGCTCGCGTAAGATGATGTAATCAGTTGCGCACATCCTTGGACGCAAGGCGAGCGTGTCCAAGGCACGCTGGACGCACCTGAGTTATCAGTTCTAAACCCGCAAACCTGCAGACACCTGTGTGACGTGATTGCTTCACCCAGGCACGGTTGATGAGTTCGAATAGGAGCGAAACTCGAGTCCACTGCTTCCTCGCTCATCAGAACGGCAGAAAGGCTGGTCAGATGAGAAGAGTGATTTGATGTGATGGGAATGCTACAAATGCTGTGACCATCTACATCGGCTATGAACTAATTTCAACCACAAACTGAGCACGGATTGTCGCTTCTTATCATCGCTCTTGGATGAGCGGAATCCGGTTAATTTTGTTTTGTGTGATAACCAAAATAAAGTCAGAGGGTAACTTTCGACCGCTTGTACCATGTTTGTTTGTTTGTTTGTGTCGGGGTGTTGCTCATTTGCTCATTTCCCACCCGAGGTATACACGATTCATACTGTGAGAGAAACGACTCACCAGTAATTAAACCAATGAATTGTCAGCAACAAAAACAACTAACAAACCTGGACTTGTCACAAGTTCTGAACAGACCCTGAAGATCAGAACTCTATAGGTTACATGATGGTACCCCCTGCATAACATAATCAGGAGAATGCGAACATTTCTAGTATCTTTTCCAGATATGCCCTGTCAAAAAGCTAACCCCCGCCATTCAAAAAAGAGGTTGTGTACTTTTCGTTTTTATTGAAGAGGGTGAAATTGGGACATGTCATTATTAATTTGCATGAAAAGGTCCATTTTTCGGTAGCCTTGCCTCCAAACGAACTCACACAAGTAGCTGTTCACTAAAGATCGGTGTGTGCCACATTGGCGTTTATGCTGCATCTTGTAGACGTGTCAATGAGATTCGATGGTTTGTGTGTGAGCTCCAGTCGTTGGATCCACAAAGTTTTCGGTATGATTAACCGTTCCATGAGTATAATTCAGGTCAATCATTATTTCAGTTACTTGGCACGATGCCCACGTATCGCAGATGATGATTGAATCGGGAGCGTTGCAGGCCTGGATTGTGTCCATCAAAGTGGCCGCAGTTCGATCTGGCACTGCATACATGACCACCTCTTCAGTTTCCCGGCAGATCCCGCCAAAAATCTACTGCTGGGGAAGGACTCGCCCTGTGTGGTTTTTACGGCGAGATATTAGCGCTTCATCGATCTCGACGTGTATACCTGGGCCGCCGATAACTGTTGGAGTCTGCAAAAGCCGCCAGGCGCAAACGTCGCGAAGAAAGTTCTTCCAGTCAGCAGCGGTCGTGTGGCTAATAGATAATTCCTCTGAGCGGAATTTGATTTTGGCCAGCAATAAATGAATAAAATTACTGTTCTAAACTCCATTCTGGACCGCTCTAGCCAAGTTCCCTTTCGAAGACCGATTTCCTGCCGACACTGTCGAGCATTACACCTCCACCTGTCAGAAACAGTCGAAAGTGTCATTTGGTGGTCACTGTTGCATAAATGTTGCTTGCTCCGTGGCTTTGCAAAAAACGTGTTGCCGTCTCCTTTTCATGAACGAGATTGCATTAAAGGTTTTACGTCCGAACAGAGAAAATGCTTGCGCGTAATGAGCCTAGATGCGGACAAGGAACTGTTCTCATCAAAAAATAGGTCAAAGTTGTGTGCGTACAGTAAATTAGAGCTGGCAGAAATTGGGGGCGGGGCTTAGGTTTTCGCACATGGACTTTCTACATTAGTGGTGGGGCTTATATGGAAAAGATTTCATTTCTACTTAGCAAGTGATGTGTAAGAGGAGCATTGATAATCGTTGAAAATAGATCCTGAAAAGGGAAAAACGGATCGAAAACACCCACATTCGACTGAATGGGTGCTGAGAAAGACTGTGAGTTCACTGCATGATTCCATTGTATCGAAAGTCCTTGGTTCTGGGACAGGCAGTTCCCTGACAGCTTCCATAAGTGGTTATTTTTCTCAAAGGGCTTATCAATTTAGATTCTGTTGCCAACACCTATCGGTCTGGTCCGATTGTTTTAACTGAAATCACTTTGTTGTGTGTGTGTATGTGTGGTCATTTGGTGTGTAGTACTGTACTGTACTAATAAACCCTGCCAGGATTGGGTGCGAACTTATTGTTCGTTGTATGTTTGCCGATCAATGTCTGATTAAAAGGAATAAGTGAACAGTGATCACAAACGCAGTGGCTTTATCCGAACTCTGATTAACGTTCAGGCAATAATGCCAATCAAATGCTCTATGGAGTTGGAGGCCGTCTTCATAAGAGACCCAACCCCACCCCCTCATGTCCAGATTTCCGATGGCAATAAAACGATGAGTAATCACACTATAGTGTTGATAAAACAACGAGTATAAATATCCTAAAGCTGTATCCAAATTTGGCGCTCAAAATTTTCGAACAACTCATAGGACTTTGAAAATCTCTACTAGGGAAATTTCGTTTTTTAACTTCATCATCATCATCAACGACAGCATGACATCAGTGTTCAACACCAATGCTTCACAGCCGTACAACCATGACTTATTTGAAAGCCTTATTGTAAAGAAAAGAGTAACTTATACACCCACCAGTTTGGTCCTGACGGAAGACTCACATCTTCCTCACACTTCTAGAAATTTCCATCACTTTGCAAAACAAAAAACCTGCTAGGTTGCGTGGTGTTCCGGGGGAAGCACATATTCCCACCCACTCGGTGGGTCTTCCGCTTACAAACATTAATCTATGCGGCATGGAATTTTTGGCTCATTGGATTTCCCGACCCACTAATCATATCCGTGTACACAACAATTCCAAAATGTTACCCCAAACAAACACAGAATGACGTGCAACCCCACGTCCGCCTCTCGGTGATGAAAGGTCAATACAACAGTTAGATTTGATACGGTCAGTTCCTTCGCAAAACAATTAAGTAGATTTGCGGGATCTGAAAAAAAAGCAACTCGTGGATGTCAATGAAAAAAACAATCGGTTAACATTTCCGCATGAAATTAATCTACCTACGCACTACCCACCATACATGTCAGATGAAACCCACTCTCTAAAGCTTCATGATCAGCTTTCGGTTCTTGCTTAACGGAAAAGCCACTAAACCAATTGCCCGACCACATTAGATAGTTAACGGCCATTAAAAGAACCGCAAGAGAACCGCCAGCAACGAACCTCTCGCTATGGAAGCAGCGTCTTAGAATATCCATCGTAACACCAGAGAAGAACACTGTTGCTTCCATTTGAATAAAGTCCTATAACAAAAAGAAAGAAATGGGGCAAGGAGGGCTGGTCTAACACAAACGTTCGGGGGGGCCACAGCTCCAGCACTCAGTCAGGCAATCCGGACAGAAACTGAGAACATGAGCGCCGCTGTCATCGAGTGGCTGCCGTATCGTTCAGTGTCTGAGTCCAACCACAAAGAGGTTGATGAGTGACCCCCCCC